GCATTTCACGAGTCAGCTGGGTGGATTTATACAGGGTATTTGGAAATTTTTCAGTCCCTTGTGCCTTTTCCAAGTGAAAACCATGTCACTGTGACTAGGAAATACTGCAAGGATCCCTGTTCTCAGGCTTTTCAAGCCAAGACATCAGTGATGAAATGCAGTCTGATGTGATTGAAGAAAACTGCTTAATTCTGGTGTTACTCAACAACAGTGATTCCTTGAGGGACCTTGAAGTTTGTTCCATGGTAAATTATTTGAAAGAAATCTCCATAAAAGAGAAATGCAACTTTTAAAAAACACCTCTAAAAATGTAATGTTAGATTTACTTTTAAAAATGTATAATTTACTAATCTTCTCTCATTGTCACCCACAAATGGTTTTACACATTTGATTGTAGTGGCACATTTGTTGTCCTCTGTTTGAAAATTCAATGCCCGGCGAGATACATTCCTTGCTGTTCAGTCTAGCCGTTTGTCCCATTGCATCACAAAAGAGGATTTCTAAAAGTTTGATAAACTACACAGGTTTAGTTCATTTCAGTTTTAAAAGCATTCAATCTAATTACCTTATAATTGGACACATACCCTGAACAATTCCTCCTCAAAGCTTCCGCTGATCCCACAATGCTGCTCTGCTGCTATGAAATCTAGTTTCCTTTTCACCTTGAGATACTATGTGACGTCACAAAAACAGTCAAATCTCCAATGAGGAAAGTACAGTTGACATGCACTTCAAAAGTGCTCCTCCATGTAGTATTTAGGCACCATGTATTTAAGTTCGCTAACTTATAGCAAGGAAAATCAGGAAACTGTGCTGCCTATGCCTTGCATATCATTCAATGCCTCTGAGAGCAGATAGATTCAACACTGCCATGAGACCAGTTTCCTTGGTGATTTTTGCGTGAACTAGCCTCTTAGTAGATGCGCACACAAAAAGTTTGCTGGAATATTAGGCCTTGAACCAGCAAAGTGCTTGATCAGATGCTTATCTTTTCGTCCCACGGACTTCTAGTATTTCCATTGATTTCAATGGGACCGCTCACAGGCCTATAGTTAAAGGCTTGCTTAATGTTTTGGTGAATGAGGGAGGAGGCACTTGGGTATTTTGTAACAGTTAAGTCATTGTTAAAGCAGGTTGGAGATTCTCATGCAGACTCCCCTCTGGGCTCTCCTGTTGCTAGTGTCACAAATTACTTTGCTTTTAGTACCCTTGGCAGCCGGCATAGAAGTGTCAACGCTGTAAAATATTACAAATAAAAAATAATTAAATGTCACGGTTTGCTCCTGATGGCGGATTCTTCGTTCCTGCGGATTTACACACCAATAGTGAAAGCTGGTCTCTGGACAATACATGAATGGCTGTGGCTGGGTCAAGCCAGACATGTTTTACATTTGCCCACAAGCACATATTCACAGGAAGGGTGTGGACGGTCCTTCTAAAACTAGACTGGTCATAATGGCCTTGTTGCCATAAATACATATTTTAAAATGTCCATGAGTGCATCAATACACTGGCCAGCTTTCCCTCGGTTATTCCATCAAACCTTATTGAACGACTTCTGCTGCTACTTACACCCTGGCCAGCCCCACTGAACTAACCCATAGAGTGTGCGCTGAAATGGAAGCTCTTATCAGGGGTGGGCATTAAATGAAGGCTGATAAGCTGTCTAGCAGCACTCAAGGGAGAGCTATGTGGGTGCGGATTAGAAGCAATGTTCTCTAACTGCTATACTGGTATCTGCTCTTGGTAATCCAACTGCGCTACGTAGCAATTGCTTTTTTTAAAAGGGCACTCCCAAATCTAGCCATAAATTAGTTAAAATAAGCACAGGGACTTCCTGAAATGTAAAATGTTTTTGTGAAATGTAAAAAAAAAAAAAATCCATTGGGAGAGAGGATTTTTTTTTTTAAACAAATAAACCTTGTCCAGCAGTGCTCCCACTCTTCAGCACTGTGCAAGTTCACAAGAATCTGAAAGTGAAACACACAGGAAACGGACAAATGTGGAACTGAGTCATACCACAGGCCCGAAATAGGAAAAATAATCAATTGAGTAAATCAACTGGTGTAAATCGGTGGAGCTACTTTGATTTCAGTGGAGCTATTCTGACTTACACCAGCAGAGGATCTGGCCCCAGAGCTCCAATCCTGCATTAGAGTGTCTTGTCAAAGGAGATGATTCAGCGTAGCATTCCAACCTATCCCAATATATTGGCTTCCTTCTCAGAATACTGGCAGATATTTACCTCTGCAATGGTACTGAACCTATTCAGGCATCTCTTGTTCCCTAGCCATGTTCTAAGTAATATGTCAGTTTTTTGCTTTTCAGTCCTGATGTATTCCAGCAATACAGATTTAGTGCTATTGTTCACTAGCATGATGAATTGGTGTAGCAGGTAGCTGAGGAATTGTCTGAAAAGTCACTTGTCAGCTTTCAGCAGCTAAACGCTTCAGAAACACCATATATGTATCTTTAAAATATCTCCCATGTGCTCAGGAAAAATAATAGATATACACAGCTGATCAGTTGCAGGTCAGCTTAATCTCTGTGATTAAAGGCCTTACTGATGATGCTCTTCTTCAAGATGGTTCATTTCCCTAAAATGTTCTAGTATCTAATAGGTGCTTCTAAGTGTATGGCTGTCAGATGTCATGGGTTCCAGAAGGGATGCCTAAAATGGTGTGCACACATTTTATACTGAAATCCTGGTGGTGGTAGACTTGCATGGCTATCTAATTAAATCAGAGAGTTAGCAGCAAATTTCAGAGAAGCAATTTAATGGAATGCATTGCACTGCATGTCATTTTAACACTCTTTAATTTACTGTGATGATTTGTGTTCAGAAGCTTCACTATTTATACTGGACCATGGGCAATGCATAATACATGTGTTTGCAGATGGTATCATGTAATAGATCTGGCTGGCAAAGTATTCTGTCTTACAAGAGTATATATGTAACCATTTCAAGTTCAGTCCTGAAAATTGGTTCCCCTTGTTTGGACCTTAGATAAAAATCAGGGAACACTTTGAAAATGGATGTAGGCAATTTAAAAAGTGACACAGGCATTTAGGAACCCAAGTCTCCTTTAAAGTCAGTGGAACTTAGATTGCCAACTAGAGTTTGAAAATGAGTCTTTGGTAGAATTGGTTGTAAAGGTGTCAGCAAAACTTCTTTCTATTGTAAAAGCTGTTTTGTCAACTCTGAACCAGTTCAGCGGAAGTGGCTTGGTTTCCACATGAATCGCATCAGGAAAGTTTCTCTCCTCTAGGGTGGAATATCTGGCTAGAGATGGCACAACCCCATGGTAGCCAGTAGCCCAAGGGTTAGGGTACTTCCCTGGTATGTAAGAAACCCAGGTTCTAGTATCTGCTCTGAATTTAGCAGAGCAGAAACCTTGAGCTTGGGTCTCTCAGTCCACTCTCCAGAGTTCATGTCAGTGTGTCGTGTTTGAACTGTTCCACTTTGTCTAGACAAAGAGTATTTTCTGGGCCAGAGAGATGGGTGATTTGACTTGGGCCTCTCACATCCCAAGTGAGTGGTCTAAATCATCTGGCTGTTGCCGGTGCTGGAGATCTCTGGCTCTCTCCCACTTTTCACAAAGAATTTGAAAGGTCTCAAGTTTGTTCCACATCAGAACAAAAAAGCGTTTCTGAAACCTCAACTTCTTCTATGTAACGGAAATGTTGTTTTCCTCCCAGCCCCAGTTTTAGGCTCCTGAGGTCAAGTCTGCACTGGCACTTTACAGCGAGGTAACTTTCTGGCTTGGGTGTGAAAACACCTTCCCCCTCAGCACAGCAAGTTATAGCACTGGTGTGAAGCAGACAACAAGCGCTGGGAGCCACACTCTCAGCACTGTTAGCTACTCCCCTTATAGAGGTGGTTTATATAGAGCACTGGGAAAGCTCTCTCTGGGTATGTCTACACTACCCCACTAGTTCGAACTAGCAGGGTAATGTAGGCATACCGCACTTGCAAATGAAGCCCGGGATTTGAATTTCCCGGGCTTCATTTGCATAAGCGGGGAGGGTGTACCGGTAATTCGGAATAGGAAGCCTAGTCCGAACTACCTAGTTCAAGCCCCGTGTAGCTGCGCTGCACAGGGTTCGAACCAGCGGGGTTTTAAAAATGGCAGCTCCCCGCTTATGCAAATGAAGCCTGGGAAATTCAAATCCCGGGCTTCATTTGCAAGTGCGGTATGCCTACATTACCCTCCTAGTTCGAACTAGAAGGGTAGTGTAGACATACCCTCTGAGTCCATGCCATGGCCACACTTCCAGCTTAGTGTTGCTGTGGCTGTGCTCTAAACTATTAAGTGTAGACCAAGCCTTATAAGTCATTTAGTTGCTTCTAAGAATTTTACCTCAGATCTTCAACTGGGGTAAGTCAGCATAGCTCTATGAGAGGGCTGCAGTGTGAACTACATGTGAACTGCAGGGGTTTCAGTGGAGCTACAGTGACTAACACCAGCTGGTTTGTTTCAATTTCAAGTAAAGCTTTCGCCATCGGTCGGATAAAGGGTCACGTCAGACCTTAAACAACATCGACTGTCCAGTAAACAACTAGCAGCATCTCTAATAGCCTGCAAAAATATTTGTTTTCACTTCAGGAGATACATTTTAGTCCATTTAGCTATTTGTGTAACTGCACACAAAGATGAATGAGCCCAGATGTGGCTTAAGCAGCTGATGCCTCTTCATCTTCTCAAAATGTTGGCCTTTCGTTGTAATATTATCCCCTCCTTGGCATGTAGACTACATCAGAATGTAATTAGCACTTGATAATAAATGGCAACTTCGAAATGAATCTAAAAGCTTAAACTGTCGCTTCGCGTGTAAACTCATAGGGACAAGTCTTTTTGTTCAATGTGTTTGTACTGCTCCTAATACACTAGAGCCCTGGTCTCTGACTCAGAGATAATAACAACACTATTACTATTATTTTACTCATTAAAGTGTCTAGGAAACTAAATCTGAATGCAGTTCCGTCTTTGTACATGCAGGTCAAGGATGTTGTCGGCTACAACGCCCTGGGACACTGCTTCTTTACTGAGGATGGGCCAGAAGAACGCAACACGTTTGATCACTGCCTTGGACTGCTTGTTAAGCCTAGCACTCTCCTTCCATCTGACCGAGACAGCAAAATGTGCAAGCTGATTACAGAAGGGGCCTACCCAGGGTATATCCCCAAACCCAGGCAGGATTGCAAGTAAGTAGGCATTCTTTTTTTTTTTTTTTTTTTCCCTCCTCCTTCATGTAGGATTTGACACTCTCATCCATAAAACACAGGACTGGGTAAATATAATTAAGCATTTTCTTTCAGGAATATGGGTCATATGCTCAAAACGATAAGGTGGCTGTCTCTAGAGGATGCTTCTGTTCTATTTATACATTTACACATGCAGGGTATGATTTTGCTTAGTATTTTTAGTGTAAGGTCAACTAAAATGCTTGTTATGGTGGATGCTGTGCATGAATCCCTTTCAAAGTGCAGACAAATGGCCCTGACTCTGCATTGCCTAAGGTCTCATTTACACCACTATCATGTGGGTATAAAATTCAATTAATTGTGAATGGGAGACTCTGCCACCTTTATTCATATTCATGTCTGCAACTGGTCCCGCTGATTAGAAGAGAATTCCTTGTGGAGGATGGGTACTACTCAATGTGAGGATGAGTGGCCCAAAAAGTCATATTTCACATTCATTTGGCATATACTCCGCAGGGAGTAAATTCAGATCAGAGAGTTATGTTTAATATAGTTCATCAAGACTCTGGAACGTGGCAATGGCAGATCAAAGCTTGCATAGGCATAGAATCCCTACTACAGATTGCTGTATAAGTCAGTGCATGAAAGTTCTTAAAGCCTGTTTCTATTTGAAACCAACTCTAAGCACACACCCCCTCTAGCTGCCAGCTGAGTGACTCCTAGAAATATTAGGCTTTGTGACGTCAGAAGGCTTTCTTTCTTTTTAGCTTTGGATTGAACTTTTAAAGTAATTTAGGGCGAGATTCTGCCCATCTTTGCCATGTTGCCTAGTACCTTAATCTGTGACTAGTCCTATTGATTTCAGTTGAGAGTGTTAAGTCTAAAGACATATGAGAATCTGGCCGTGGACCAATGTTTCCTTCTAATTTTTTCCATGAGTGTGCAGAATAAATTGTGTTATGTGCACTAAGGCATGTGCAGATGTGCACCACAGTAGAAATGCATACTACCAGCTGTGAGTGCTCCGCTAATCAGCTGGGCAGCATTTGAATCTTTTCTGGGTGGCTGCCGAGGTGCTCGGCTTACAGGGAATATTCGGGGACTGAGAATCCAGTGGGGGGTGGTAATGAATATGTTTTGTGAAACACAGTAGCATATGGAAAGAGCAGATGTAAGGGGATTTCTGTAACAAGCCCACAGAAACACGTTCTCAGAGCCATGGGTAAACCAATCTCCAGCGAACCTGGAGCACTGTTGTAGGGCTTTTCTTGTCTGTAACTTGTGTAATGACACGTTTACCTTATCATAAAATATAATTGATATAACAGCTTGATACTAGCCTTAGGGTTTCAGTAGAAATTCTTCATTTCATTCCTGAGGTCTTTAAAGATAAGGCCATTTTTCTGCATCTGTAGATGAAGGTAACAGCTGTGATATGATGAAAGAGAAAGAAACCCCAGTTGCTACACTCTAGGCAGTAGCCTTTCTGCTGTGTGATCTGACCTGCTGATACTGTATGCAATGGAAAGCTAACTCCTTCCTGTGTGCCTTGGGTGTCATTTTCATGCTATTCTTTGTTCCCTCCTCTGCAGCGCTGTATCCACTTTCTGGATGGCCAATCCTCATAACAACCTTATAAACTGTGCAGCTGCAGGATCCGAAGTGAGTACAAAGATTTCTTATTTGGGAAAATCCAGAATAACTGCAATAGCCCTGCAACTTCCAGTGTTTACTGTTTCCACTACTTAGGCATTTTTGAAAGCCACAGATTAACGCTGCTACTGCTGCAAATACAATCTTCCTTGCCTCCACCTCCACACTTCTAGCCACTTGCTGTAGTTGGGGTTTGAAGACTTGGATTACTTTTTACAAAATTCCCAAAGCACAGCCTGTATAAGACCTATCCCTCCTGCTCCCATTAAGCCAATGGCAAAGCTCTTACTGACTACAGCGGGGACAGACTCCGTCCTAAACTAGCACATGAATGGTATCTAGGCCTGTGACATTTAAAGCCATACTGATGCTACTTCTCCAAAAAAGTTGACTCCATTCAATTGTCTCTACTTGATTTTTTTTATTTGAAAAAAATATTTGGCCCAAAGTTGCCAAATCTCAGGACTTAAATGTGGGCTCCTATATCATCTAAATGGGCACCTAAATGAGTGGCATGATTTTCAAAGGTGCTAAGCACCTAAAACTCTCATTAACATAAGTAGGGTTTGTTGGTGTTCCGCACATCTGAAAATCAGGCAAGGTTACGTGTTGTTGCCTCAGGATGGATGTTGGAGACTAACTTTAGGTGTCCCAAAAAAATGCTGTCCCTAACTGCTTGTGTGGGTGTTCTTCATATAGTTACAGAGCATTACCATGTCATGAAATCTGTGGCTTTTACCTTGCGCTATTTCCTGGTAAGCCCCTGTACCAATGTAAATCTGTTAAAATCAAGTGATGGCTCACAGTGTGTATTCCCTTTCACAGGAAACGGGGTTTTGGTTTGTTTTTCACCATGTGCCTACGGGGCCCTCCGAAGGAAAATATTCTCCGGGCTACTCTGAGCACATTCCAATGGGAAAATTCTACAACAATCGGGCACATTCCAACTACCGAGTGAGTCTGCATGCAATGAAAACAATCTTCTTGTCTAAAAACAGAGCTCAGTTCCTTCAGCTTTCAGGAGCTTATGAGCTAATATGGCCTGTGATTTCTGATTCACTACCAGCAATTACAAACTAATTTTCACAGTTGTACCTACAAACAAAGTGGCTTGTTTGCTGGTATAAATAGAACAACAGTTTTTGTTTACCCTGAATTCAATTTGCTATTCTTGGCCTAAAGGCTAAAATTTCCCGTGGGCATTGGGAGATCAGAGGATCTTACTTCCATTCATTTTGTTTCCACCAGGTGATCTGTCTGCTTTTGTTCTCTAAAATGATGCTGCTAGCAGCATCTTTTGGCTGCTTGTCTGGTTATAGATCACTGCTGCCAATGTTAGCCATTGATCAAAGAGCACCTGGTGGATAAAATAATATAAGCTGAGTCTAGTTATTTCCTAAATCTCTTTACTTATTCAGCCCAAACTTACTGCCCTGGGAGACTGTACATTGGAATCTATTACTTAATGTCTTTAGATTGCAGCATGTATTTAATTGGCTAGTGTTGTGGCAGAACAGCTGGAAAACACAAGGGCTTTTTAAGAGGCTGCAGACAGAAGATAATATAGTGGACAGTCCTCCTGTTTCTCATGCTGGAATGATGCATTATAGGACACTGCTGATACTATGACAAAATTCTCAGATGCACATCTTCCAGGAAAAGCACTTCAGGGCAGGCTATCACTGCCAGATTGCTTGAGTATCAACTTCAGTGGTAACAATTCTAACGAAATACAATTTTTTTTCTGAAGAGCAATGCTATTAGTTAAAGATTCACTTCTCCAAAAGCAGAAGGCATAAGGCACCCAACTTGGAACCCAAGTCAGAGAAAGCTAGTGACTTTGAAGAACATTTTGCTCAATTGATCATCAGGACAAGTTGAACAAAAAATTCTGGTCCTTCTCAGAAACCCATTCCCAATATTTTAAAATGTTGCACCATCTTTATGGGTGTTGGTCTAGAAGTTATTTTAAATGTATGAGTCCAGCTTCGTAGCTGGAGTAAATCAGGATGATGCCTTTGACTTCAAAAAAGCCCTGGTGTTTGCACCAGCTGAGGATTTGGCCCAGAAACTTAAAACAGAGTAATTTTCAAGTGTATAAATACATAATGAAATTCCTTTTCCTCCTCAGGCTGGCATGATCATTGATAATGGAGTCAAAACTACACCAGCGTCTGATAAGGACAAAAGACCTTTTCTGACACTGATTTCTGGGAGGTAATACTTTCTCTATGGTTTGGTTTGGAAAGTTGTGCATAATGCACATTTATGGCTGGATTCTGCTCCCCCTGAAGTCATTGGGAATCTCTGCATTGTTATCAGTAGGAGTTGTATCCAGATCTTTTCTTGACTTTTCTTGACTTTGCCACTTTTGACCCTTGTGCATTTTTCCTTCCCCACCATCTGGAGATTTCAGCACATGGTTCTCAGACCCTTGCTGATCACTTCTGGATTTAGATGAAGCAGAAGTCATGTGTACTCTGGGGTGTCCTGCAGTTTTTTGTATAAATCGATGAGAAGAAAATGATTCTTAAGCAGTTTTCCTGCTAGGTAAAAAATGCTGCAAGAGTTTCCTAGATAGGAATGGAAAAAGAAGAGATGTCTCGGGGAGAAGCATAACACTTCTTTAAGATGTTGAAATTAAACTCATGTTTCATTTCAATTTTAATCAACTTCCAAATCTGATAATTCACTGATGATAATTATATGAAGGAAGCTACCCTACCATCTCCACCAATGTGTTTGGGCAATGGCCCACATTTAATGTATTTAAAATAAAAATGAAAAGATCATTATATTTGTAGAGCTCAAAGGATGCAAAGAAACATTGCTCAATTTGGTTCAGAAAGCTTGTTGACATAAGCCAAAGAATTGAATAAGGAATATGTTTTCTCGCACGCAGTTCCCCTGGTCAGAGGTCAAATCTAATTATTAGTATAGATCCCAAAGTCAGAGAGAGAGAACGACTCAAACACTCTCATGTTTCAGTTTTTTCTCCTAATGGACCAGCTACCTCCAGCCATGCTCCCCCAGGACCCTGCAATGAGAACAGACACCTGTGGACGAATCTCTGTTGAGAAGGAGGAAGATGTGAATTTTTTTCACTTTCTTCTAATCACCGATAGGGTGTGACCTCCCCGTACCATTTCAGTGAGACACTCTCCTTGAATCTCATTGGTGGATTTAGTACTTCCCCCGCAGCCATGTACAACCACAGCCAAAGTTACTGGGACAGATTCTGTGCTGTGTTGAACTGTTGTAAGTTGAAGGTAACTCCATTGACTTCATACTCTGTTTTCAGTCAGAGAAGTATACATCCATGTTAACTCCCTCTTCCAAGAGTTATTCCAGATACACACTGGTGTAAAAGAGACCGGATTCATCCCAAAGTGAATTTGTTTGATAGTATCTAGTGAATTCACCAGGATGCGTGCTTTTACCATGAATACCAAGTGATTTCATAAGGATGAAGCTGTCAAAGTGGTGATCATTTGCTGGAGCCACATGATCATTATTTTTATTTTAGGTTGATGGGATGATTTATGAAGTGAAACAAAATGCTATTAAATATCTGTTAATGATTTGATAGCTATTTCTGACCCATGAATTTTAATTTCGGTGCTGTCCATTACTGCACTGCTGTGGATACTAATCTGTCAGGTTTTTCTACACGGCATTGTATTTGACAGGACCCTTAGTAATGATATGGATAGTTGCCACTGAGGAGCAGGAATAAGGGTATGTCTACACTACCACCCTAGTTCGAACTAGGGTGGTAATGTAGGCAACCGGAGTTGCAAATGAAGCCCGGGATTTGAATTTCCCGGGCCTCATTTACATCTCGACGGGCGCCGCCATTTTTAAATGTCCGCTAGTGCGGACTCCGTGCCACGCGGCTACACGCGGCACGGACTAGGTAGTTTGGACTAGGCTTCCTATTCTGAACTACCGTTACTCCTCGTGAAACAAAATGCTATTAAATATCTGTTAACTGTCTGTGTAACTTGAAAGCTTGCCTCTCTCATCAACAGAAGTTGGTACAATAAAAGATATTACCTCACCCAATTTGTTTCTCCAGTATCTCAGGACAGACACAGCTACAACCACACTGCATGTTGGAGTGTTATTTAGGGTATGTCTACACTACCACCCTAGTTCGAACTAGGGTGGTAGTGTAGACATACCCTAAATAACACTCCAACATGCAGTGTGGTTGTAGCTGTGTCTGTCCTGAGATACTGGAGAAACAAATTGGGTGAGGTAATATCTTTTATTGTACCAACTTCTGTTGATGAGAGAGGCAAGCTTTCAAGTTACACAGACATTGGTTCAATAAAAGATATTGGTTATCTGACCTAGCCTCTTTCTGACAGGGCTTAAACAGATCCTGACACCCAAGTGCAGGCTGACAGACTACTGTGGAAATGCTTCTTCCTCCATGATTCACCAGGCAGTCATTTCATCATGTGTGAGAGCTTGCAACCTAATAGGTGACATATGGTAGGAACAGCAAAGAAGCAACCTTCACAGTCTCCTCAAAATGCGTTCACGTTTCAGCCATCTTTGCTTTTCTGTACAATGCGCAGTTAGCCCATGGAATTCACAGCCACACAAACTGGTGTTAAGCCGGATTAAAAGAAAAGAACTGGACATTTAGGTGAATAACAAGAATATGCAGAGTTATAATAGGGAGGATTTTTAAATAACCCCAAGAATTTTAAAAGGAATACAATGTCATGCTTGAGGACATAAACTAACATTTAACTAAAGGAAGAAACTTTTTTTTTTCCGGGGCAGGTTATTTCACAACTATTGGAGCATTTCTTGCACATTCCTGGTAGTAGGTACTGGTCACTATCAGAGTTTATGGTCCACAGTTCTTGCCTGGTAATTTCTGTGTGCAGCAGAAACAATCCTCCCCCCACCTCCCACCGCCCCCAAATGTTTAACAAGTCATTGTAGCAATAGAAGATCACTGAGGTAGATTGCCTTCCACTGACAACCGTTTCTGCTCTTCTTGTGTTTTCAGATACAGTCCACACAAAGACGCAGACCCTTTGAAGCCTAGGGAACCTGCGATAATTGAACGCTTTATTGCGTACAAGAACCAGGACCACGGGGCCTGGCTGAGGGGTGGAGACGTATGGCTGGATGACTGCCAGTGAGTTTTGCCTTATTTCAACCCTTCGCGGTTCTGGCAAGCGTAGTTGTGGTTATATTATTTATATCGCTTTGCACCTTGCACATGGTCAAGATTAAAATAAATACGAAACTTTAAGAAAACACAGGCATTGTTACAAAATCTGTTTTGTCTGAAGTAAAGAATCTGCTGAATTGTTTTTAAGTGTGACTTTGTCCAGATTTTCAAAGCAGCAGCAAAAATTGACTCCGATAAACCATTCTACAGGGAAAAAATGAAGAGATTAAAATAAACAGAAAACATATAAATCTAACCAGCTTCCACCACCTTATTTTATGTGGTTCAGCATTGTGCTGAATAAGACAGTACCAAGGAAGCAGACACAAAACTATGCTTTATGGGAGGGAAGGAGAGGAATCGGGGAAAAGCACATTGTATGCCCTTGAAAGCAATTTCCTGTGCTGTTCCTCTTTGCACTTGGGACTGGATGATTGTCTTCACTGGCCACCCTGATCCAGTATCTTGATAGCAATCTCCATTACTGAGGGGAAAAAAAAAAAAAAAAGCTCTACACTAGTTCAATTGTTTGCCTAGCCGTGGCATCCAGTTGCCTGCTAAAACTGCCTTACGTTAGAATAGTCCTAACCTTTTAAAATCACCCACTGGGACTTCAGATATTAGCAAAAATGAAAGTAGGTCAGAATGAACAGAAATATAATATCAAGTCGCCATGTTATCTGTCCTTATGGACTGTGTTAGCCAGAAATGCTTAATGTTCCTGCCTTTTCAGATCAGTTGCATTTTGTTTGGATTAGTCAGAGATACCATAATTTTTAAAATACTGCATGAGTGTCTCCATTTTATCAATTTTTGGCAACATTCTTTTCAATGCATCTGGCTCTGCGGGTACAGCCCTCAAACTGTAGTTTGTTTTTATAATCATTACCACAGAGTTAATTTTCATTTCCTTTTCTACAGTGACATCTTTGTATTACATTAACAAAACAAATACTAATGTGGCATGCAGTACATAAACCTTTCCTGAGGCTGTAGAAATAATAAATGAAAAGCAGATAGCATGTAATATGCTACCACCTAGTGATCAAATTATGGAAATTGTTTTTATTCTGTTCCTAGCTTTACATTGACTTTCGTCTTGTGCATGGCAATTTAAATTCTAGCACCAAGTTGTAACTGTGATGTTTGTCAGCACATTGTAAAGAGGGGATTAAACTATAACGTGAATCTCTGTATCTGGATTCTCACTTTCCTCCAAATTTGGAGAGTGTTTGTAATAAGCGTTCCAGTTAATGCCATTATAAAAATAGGAACCATTTAAGACTCAGGTACAAATCTGGATTTTGAATATCACCAAAGCTCAGTAGCTTTTACTTCTGGTATCTGACACTGATGAAACAGAAGTTAGAAACTTCTACCACTTCTTGAGCTACTGTGTGGCAAGGCTATATGAGTAATAAGCACAGAGGTGCATAAGGGGGAAATGTGTGTAGGGCAGAGGATTATTAAAAAGTGTAAAATAGTTTGGTACACAAACAGGACCTCCTTAAATAATTTTGAAAGAGTCATGGTAGACAGAGATGGGGCAGGGGGAGGAAACAAATCAGTATCCAATAAGGAAGTCCTTCCTCCTGCAATGGCAGGTTATAATCCCAGTTAAGAATCTATCAAACTGACACTAACACTTGATCTAGACACATTATATGAGTCATGATATCAAACTTTTTCTTCACCAAGTGGAATATAAACAAAATTGCTAAAGCTTTTAGTGCCTTGCACTCTCCCACTTAACATAGGGAAGCTTCATTTTGTTAATTAACCTCAACCCTCCTTGTTAATAATAAATTCCTTCCTGGTTTGGATATCCCAGTTTAGCATTGGGAAGCACAAAGGCTCTGTATCATGGCTTGTAAAACACTCCCTACTCTTTTCTCCTTGCAGGTTTGCTGACAATGGCATTGGCCTGACCTTGGCAAGGTAAGCATTATTCTTTCCCCATTTACCATTCTCCTGCTCTGTCCTCTGATTCCAAAACAAAGTTTGCCTGAAGGAGCCCTTTTTAACGCACAGTCCTGTCTCTCCTAGCGGAGGTACTTTCCCACATGATGATGGTTCAAAGCAAGAAATAAAGAACAGCCTATTTGTCGGTGAAAGTAAAAACGTGGGAACAGAAACCATGGACAACCACATTTGGGGTCCCGGAGGCCTGGATCACAGTGGAAGGACTCTCCCCATAGGCCAGTAAGTTCTGTCCAGCACAAGTGAACTGTGCTTTACTCTCCTGTTTGTTTAAACATATGTATTTTTTCAGCACTATTTGGTGTAACTTAAACTAGAGAAATTATACACAGAGGGTTTTGTTTCATGGCTCTTGTTCCCAAGATCCTCATTGTGCAGCTGCTGCTGGCAGGCATGTGCTTGCAGGCTGCCAGGACAGCATCAATACCTGCTTCATGAACTGGGTTGGGGGACAGCTAAGGCAGAGGAAGAGTTTGTGAACTGGGCAAGATTTGTACATGTAGTCAGCAAGGATGGGGCAATGCCACAATCTCCACCAGTATCAGCTACCAGTCACCAAGGAATTCTCTGAGAACCCTTGCCTGGGCTTTGGACCAAGTGGAGTTGCTGCTGGGTTCACATGATCTTTATGCCCTTGTTAAACATTTTACAAGCTGCTAGTGAATGTCGTGGATGACCTCACCCATGATCTTGGTGCTCTGGATTGGTTTTGCAAATGCAAGGGTATTTTGTTGTTGTTTGTTGTTTAAAATATAACCACCCTTATAGAAGCCTCTGATGCACAAAGAGATCGAATCCTGTATTTTCTGCATGGCTCTCCTCAATTCTGCTTATCAAAGGAGTCCCCATAGGACAATCCTCTATACCAGGGGTGGGCAATAAGCGGTTGGCCAATGGGAACTGCAGGAAGTGGTGTCCCAGTCTGGGCCACATTCTGCAGCTCCCATTGGCCAGGAACGGCAATCCACAGCCAATGGGAGCCACAAGCAACCATACCTGTGGCTGTGCAGGTTAATACATGATAATGTTGAGCCCATAGGCAGCTGATTGCCAACCCCTGCCCTATACCAACAGTGAAAGGAGGCTCTTATAATACTCTGTTCTTCCGTCCTTTACATACAAACATTCTCCTGTTGTCTTCAGTGGAGGAAGTTGTGTATATAAGAGCATCCAAAGGCAGGGAGCACTTACCTGAATGGGAAATTCTTGTGTGAGGAAGGACCGCTCCTTTGAGTAAACGATTATGGTTTTGTTTATTATGAGCAGTCATTGACATGTTTTAACCCTTTAACAGGCTTGGCTAAAACATGACATTCAGTGAACTCAAAATGTAAAAAAGCACATGTCTTCTCTACCTCTCCACTGGGATCTAAACGGTCTCTGGGTTAAGGTGCTTTGGAGTGTGCTCACTAACTTAAAACAGTATCCCAGGCAGTGCAACAGTTTTGCTGCTTGAAAATCCAAATATTATTTTATTGGAGCCAGGTTGTTTATCTCCATGCGCCTATGAAAGCTGTCTTGGGATTTTAGCTCTTCAGTGATTCAGTATGAGGAGCGCACATCTGATTGGTTGCAGGTTTTGCGGCTGCTGCAGACATATTTGTGATTGCCACATTAATTTTTTCTTTTTAGGTCAATGCCTTGGCATTATCCAATGTTCCTTCCCTTTAGGAGTACAGACCAAACAAAGATGATCTGCTTAGACACAAAGAGACCTTGACTGAACTCATAGGAACTGAAGGGTTGCACAAACAAAAACAAAAGCAGCACTCACCCAGAGTTCTCCTGCTGACTATGCAAAATAATGTCTGCTACAAAGCATTCCTGAAATCAGAATGTGAAAAAGCCTGTGGCTATATGTCTGATGTCTACGGTAACACATTGTGACCAGATCTCCTTCTCTCTACTTTTCAAATATATTTTAGGAATTTTCCAATTCGTGGGATTCAGTTCTATGATGGTCCAATCAATGTCCAAAACTGCACGTTTCGCAAGTTTGCTGCATTGGATGGTCGTCACACAAGTGCCCTGGCATTCCGGCTCAACAATGCCTGGCAGAGTTGCCCCAATAACAACGTCACCAACATTATATTTGAAGACGTGCCTGTGAGTTATTTTTCAAAATGGGTTCCTTGTCATTTGGTTTTTGAACTGAATGGGATGGAGAAAAGTGTGAGGCAGGAAATGGCCATGGGCAGTGGGGGGAGAGTGGAAACAACATCAGAACTTCTGACATCCTAGTCCCAATGACTGCCCTGTTTTTAGTGAATTAAGTGTAAATGAGGGATAAGAAAACTGGTTTCGATTTTTTTTTTTTTTTAAATCAAACAAGCCCCACTTTCTTGCAAACTCGGAGCAAATCAGAAGCAGGCCAGTTTCCCCCCAAATTGGGTTCTCATATAAATAAATAGCATTTCTATTTCTGCGAGCTTCTGCACTACCATAGGCCTGTTTCCCCTCCCACATGCAAGTAGTAACTCTACTGAACTTAATATAGTTACAGTTGAAGTAAAACCAAGGTAGGTGAGAGGGAAAATAAGGCCTCTTTGGTTCCATCTGGGGTAAGATGTTGAAGTGCCAACTTAGATAGGCTGACCTTATAAAAGTTGCAGTCCAGTCAGAAGCAAGAAATACCAATGGACGTCCCCATGAGAGATCCAACCACACTGGGCAGAATCAAAGGGGATTCTGTTCCTATTTACATCTGGCAATTCCATTGACATCAGTTCCCCAGATGTAAATGAGAGCAGAATTTGGCCAAAAAGGTTGCTATCAGCTTTGAATAAGTATGTGATCTTTTGGATGCTTCTTTGAACCAAACCAAGCAATTAGCGACAACTAATCCTGGTGAGAGATTGGCAGGTATCTTTTGCATCTGCTTGTACAAATATATGCCTGCTGGTCCTGAAAGTGTCCCTCTGCCTGATGGAATGTACCTGGCAGCTGTTGAATCCAATTAACAACCCGTTCAAGTGTATTTACAGACATCTGTAGATTGAAGGAATGATTTTGATTGCTTCATTTTTACTCAATACCACACTTGCTAAAAATCCATGAGAAAAGTTGATTAAAGATTCTTGTGCCCAGTGTCTGGTAGGAAGAAAAAAAATCCCCAGAAGAATCTGACCCAGCCTCAGCCATGTTGCATCAGGCTGGTTTATGACATTCAATTTATTTCACTTGCATAAGAACCACTGGTTAGAAGCAGGGCTGGATTACCCAATAGGCAAACTAAGCACGTGCTTAGGGCACCAGCAAAGCAGGGGCACCAAAAAAGATTTTAGGGTAAAGTATTGTTTTTATTTTGAATTACGTATGGGAGGCATCATAATCTTTTCAGTGCTTAGGGCCTCTAAAGGACTTAATCCAGCCCTGGTTAGAAGTCACATAAGCAGCCTCCCAAGGGAGGCCACTGATTGTTCCAGGGTAAGTGCAAATTCAAATAAGAAGGGATGTATGAACTGAATTAGATTTAAAAAAAAAAAAAATCTCCCTCAGCCTTACTCCAAAACTTGAACCCCTCACTGCAGGATGGAGGCCACAAGAGTAGAATGCTGGTTGTGTTGCCCCCAGCTTCCGTTCACCATCAACAGGAAATGGTTACGACTAAGCAGACCTTTGCAGTGTATGACCTAACTCTGCGTTAGCCTCAGGCACTGACCAGGCAGTATGTGGACAAGGAAGGGGTAACTCAAATATTCTAGCGAATGGCAGCTAGCAAGAATTTCAGTGGTAAGCTGCCAAAAGTGGGCACAGATTTTGTGGGCTGCTTTTTTTCGGGGCCCTTAGCCTGAGACACTCAGAGCCTGATTTCCTGGACATTAGCTGATGTGCTCAGAGCTTCTGAAAACCAGATCTAAGATGTCTCCCAAACTGAGGCACCAAAAATCAATGGTCACTTTTTAAAACATTGGCCCTAACGTATAAGGAAGTTTTCCCACCCCTAGAGTGACCAGCAAATCCAAATGCTGCTTCTTGCTCTAAAGTATTTTACAGCTCTAGTTAAAATCAGACAATTCATGCCATTCCCACAACCACAGGATTGTCCTTCCCATGAAGTGCTAAGCAGTGAATTGCTCCTCTGGTATGTAAATAGCTGTCACTATTCTGTTTAGATTACCTCACGAGTGTTCTTTGGAGAACCTGGACCCTGGTTCAATGACCTGAATATGGATGGTGATAAAACATCAGTTTTTCATGATGTAGATGGCTCTGTGTCAGAATATCCTGGTTCATACCTTATAAAAGAAGATAACTGGTTGATCAAGCACCCAGACTGTATTGATGTGCCAGATTGGAGAGGTGCCATCTGCAGTGGGCACTATGCACAGGTATGTAGAATTTATCTTACACTGCTGTCATTGCTCTGGGGGAGTACAGGAATTGAAGGTAATAGGTTTATAACTATTTTAAATGTGCCTGTACAGTAGGCTTGAAATTATCTTGAATTCAGAAATGTGCACTTTTATAGGACACTCTAGATTATAGTACTTGGCAATGCATCTGTCTGGATGACTTTACACACACAGGTGAGTTTGCCTGTAAATATTATGGCACATTTTCAAAGGCACTTTAAAAATGTAGGCCGTGAATATTAACCAATGAAAAGAACAAGGCACTTTTGTGGCAACTTCCATCCAAAGATCTCCAAGCATGTCAAAAGCTTTAATGAATTAAGTTTCACAAACTGACCCTATGGTAAAGAAGTTTTTATTATCCTCATTTTTATGGGGGAAAATGTGTCACACCTAAGTTAAGTGACTTACCCAGAGTCTCAGAGGAAGTGTCCTATAGAATCCAGAACAGAATCTGGATTTCCCAACTTCCAGTCCTGTGATTTAACCACAAAACTATTCTCCCTGTAACAAAAGCACTTGGTACCACTGCTTAGAACCAGTGCTTCGTTCTCTCTTACATGCAGCGACTTTTTAGCAATGTTTTAGGTACTGCAAGTGCTTTCAGAGTAATATATTTAAAGCCCGTTAGTAACCATTTATTTTATTAAACCAATCGTGACTGTTTTCCTAATCTAGATATACATCCAGGCCTACAAGTCAGCTACCCTGAGACTGAAAATAATCAGAAATGACTATCACAACCATCCTCTCTACCTGGAGGGAGCGTTAAGCAAAAGTTCTCATTACCAGCAGTATCAGCCAGTTATAACACTGCGGAAAGGTTATACCGTGCATTGGGACAAGACTGCACCTGAGGAACTAGCTATATGGCTCATCAACTTCAACAAGTAAGTGATCCCTCTAAATTTTAACCCATGGAAGTAGCATTCCAACCAAGGCCATCTTTAGGATTTAGGAGAGTCTATGCAGTGTTATTGAACTGGTGCCCAATGGCAGCTGGAGGGGGTGAAGGGGGGGTTTTTTTTGGGGGGGGGGGGGGGGGGGGGGTTTTAAAATGTGATTTTAAAATCTTCAGCAACACAATAATGAGAGAATTTTTAAACAAATTTTAAAAGATGGTCCTGTCAACTAACAGTACATTCAGAAACTGACAGTTACTGGGGTTGACAAATGCCTGTTAAATGGCTTGATTACCACTTGAATGGCTCTTTCACAGGTTCAGTGTTCTGTTCCTAGGTCTGGCAGGCTTTGTCACTTTTAAATTCTCCAGATCTTCTCAAGAGGAAGCAAAACCCCAAACCAGGGGCAGGAAGTGGCTGGTCAGTGTACATGAAGGCCCAGGGGTGCCCCAGATTTTTGAGTGCCCTACGCAGCTACATATTCTGTGTATGGATAAGGGTGACTTGGATTCCCACCCAGTAATGTAACTGTACACTGTTGAAGAATGACATTATTGAAATATCCATGATAGTTCTTTCAGGGTTGACATAATTATTTTATGGAACCCGCTATGAACTGCCCTATCTTTTAATTTGTCATGATACTTATGTTCCCCCAGGATAGGCACTGAAAGGTAAAAACACATATTTTTTTTAGATGCCTTGGATCAAATTAATCTCTGGTGAATAGATGCCAATGGTTTTATAAGAAGGATGAGTTTAGCCCACATTGCTTAAGTAGCACATAGATGTTCTTTTACAGTCTAAATTATGTTGACCAGCCAGGAAAAAATTGTTCCATTTCAGAGTGAACTATTTAACTTGGCTTATGACATGCCCAGGAAAGTCATAGTCATGTGTCTATATTATTTGTTATAATGTGGCTCTTTGCTATTTTAGGAATGACTGGATCCAGCTAGGCTTGTGTTATCCTAAAGGGACAACATTTTCCATTGTCTCAGATATCCACAATCGCCTCTTGAAGAAAACATACAAAACGGGGACCTTCTATAGGACCCAGCAGATGGACAAATTGGAGCACCGATATCCTACCAAAGGACACTATTATTGGGATGAGGACAGCGGGTAAGGAAAAAGCCCCTGTTCAACTCAACAGATACGAGACAGCTCTCTGAACCAGAAAGTGGGGTTTTTTTGGATCGGGCCAATATTCAAATGTAAACTGGGATCACAACACACAGATTCTGTGAGGCCTGATTGATTTTTCATAACCTTCTGACTCATGGTGACTGCCACTCATTAATGTGCTCACAGACACTTGCCCCTAAAGGCTGTCCGTGCCAAGTGAATACACAGCAGGGCAGAAGGAAAAGCAGAAGGAACATCCAGCTCATTGCAATGAAATTGCGTGGAACAAGCATAAAACCCTTCTCTTTTCAAAAATTAGATCTAGGAATCTTAAACCCTGACTATGTATGAACATCAACATGATGATGTAGAGCTGCCCAATGAATTTGAACAGGCCAAACTTGTCCCCTTTGAGGGAAGATGGGACTTGTTCTTATAGGCAATTGAGGTTGTTTTTTAGATTGCCAAAGAGAAAGAAAGAAGTATTATTTATAATAAATACAGAGAGTTACTGCTCCCTCAGTGGAAACATTGAGGGCAGTGGATCTATGTTTCCATCTCCACAGTATCTCCTGGAGGAGGGACTGGAGTGGCTGCACTGCATGAGATTGG